AGCCTTCATGACCCAATCATCTTCCAAAGCCCTGCCTTTTAATACCATCGCCTTGGGAATTAGGATTTTAATTTATGAATTTGGGGTGGGCACAAACATTCAGACCATAGCAGTCAGTTGTTCCTATCCAGAACCTATCTTCTCACCCTCCTCTTCTCCTGCTCCCTACCATTTCTGGTACAAAGAGACAAGATCTCCATTGGGCTGAAATGGGAGACAATCTGGCTATAGTGCCTCACATTCCGCAGTATACTTTTCCTTTCAGTTCGTCAATACTTTTAAAAACTAATTATGTACATTAATTTATGTCTGTTGAATAATTAATACTTGTTATGTGACAGAGTTTGGATGTGGTGTCCTCTCCAAAACTCACGTGGAAATTTGATCCCTAATGTGGCAGTGTTGGAAACTGATTGAGTCATGGGGGCAGATCCNGGACTAAAACATTATGCCAATGTCTTACATTAAATGACCTCAGAATAAGTAATGGCACTTCTGTTGTCTTTACTCAATCCCAACTGATATATTTAATATATTTCAGTCTGCCCACAGAGCCAGGCATATACACTAATCCCAAAGCCACAATAACACTAGTAGCATTTATATAGTAAATATGGAAATAAGTTTATGAAAAGGTGTTAATATTACAATAATTTTTTTTCCTTTTTGTCTTTTTTCGTGACCGGTAACGGGATCGCAACCCTCAGTGTCGCGCCCGAACTGCACTCAACCAGTAAGCAGACAGGTCTCCATATGGGATCCGAACCCTCGGCGGGAGCGCCGCCGCGCTCCCAAGCGCCGCACTCTACCGAGTGCGCCACCGGGCCGGCCCGCAACAATTTAAAACTCCACATCTACCAATAAGTTTATCCATTCTCAGAAAAATTCATTTCAGCTTCTATTTTGAACTTTTGTTTTGTTCTGTTTGTTTATTTTCATTTTGTGGGTGGTAGATTCATTGGGGAGTGATTGAATTAATCATGATTTGTGAATCCATAAAGATTCATCCCAAAATACACACATATGCTTCATAATGCGTATATATACTCCCATAATGAAATGACAGAACAGTACAGCTATAAATTGGGCTTGTACCTGCAACTCTTAAAATGGACATTTTGCATGAGTCTCACATAAAAAGAATTTGTTTGCTATTATTTCACTTGATTTCAAATGTCTATTTTCGATCCCAGGTGGTCTTTTTAAAACAAGTGTACATTTAAACTTAATTTTGCATACCCTTACCAACATCCATTGATTTCTTTGTTCACATTCATACTGCATACCTCCAGATAATACCTTTTGTTCCCTTTACAATTGTCATACATAGTTCAATCTCAAACCCTCAAATTATTTGTCTTTTAAAAAGTCCCTGCTCTTTGTAACATTACAAATGTGTGCATGTACATGTGGAGGTATATTTCACCGTTGGGGACTATGTCCTGGAAGCACCATGGTAAGAGCTCACAGCAGGTGGAAAACACAGATCTTCAGAAATGGGCTCGCTGCTACTAAAAGTTTTTTATTTGTCAACATAATCCTGAAGACTTGTGGTACGAGGCAGAGTGACACCAATGTTATGATTTTCCAGGATGGTCTTTACCATTGAGCCACTCTAGTCACTCCCTTCTCCCAAACACACACCTCCACACTCCCACCCCCTTACGCACATGTTCTTTAAATTTATATTTTCAAACAATAGACAAGGGGAAAGAAGTGAGGCAGCACAGCAGGCCTGAAACAACCCTGAAAAAGAAGGGAAAAAAATGGATTACAAAAATTATGGATATTCATTTCCTCATTTATAAAAAGGGGCAGCTAAAGAAGAAAAGACTAAAACTCAGAAAAGGCCCAAACTCACCCATTCTCATTTCTTCATGCCCCACCCTGCACTACTATTGAATCTGAATTTTTCTTGTGTTTTAGAAATCTGAAACAATTATCAATCTTCTTCCAGAGCACTTACAGGGAAAATTATTTGAAAGTGACAAGGTTCCCTCACTCCACAGCAACCAGTCTGCATTTAGTTCACTTTCTCTTTACCTCGAGTTCTCACTCCCCTTATCTTTGCATAATTTCATATTTTTGTCTCAGGTAATATCAGCTTCCTGACGCTTCAGGGTGGTTTCTATCAAGGTTATCCCTCTCCTGCCAGAGCCCAGGTACTAGCACCTGGTTCCGTGACGACACCTGGAGAGGCCTGGACTGACGCTTGGGCCAGGTGGGGGCTGGACAGCTCAGCCAACCTCCGCCTGCGTGAGGCGCAGAGTGCCCTCGCCACTTTTTCCCAGCTGAGACCGTCTCTACACGTGGGAGACCCGGGGGAGGAAGCGAAAAGCCCCCTCTATGATACCAGCGGAGGGCACGGATCTCTTACCTGCGTGCAAAATCTTAACGCACCCATGGTCGCTGCTGCAACTGACGGGCCTGAAGAGCGACTGCACTAACGGAAGGGCGGGGGGAAAGAGGGAGATCTGGAAGGGAGGGAGCAGGGGAGGCGGAGAGAAGGGAGAGAGGACCCTGCCGCCGCCTGCCCACAGGCTCCTCCCCTTTCAGGCCCCGCCCCCGGCCCGGTCCCGCCCCCGCAGGTCTCGCCCCTCAGGCCCCTCCCCTTTCAGGCCTCGTTCCCGCAGGTCCCGCCGGACTCCCCCAGGGATGAGGGATGTTGAGGTCAGAGGCCTCCGAGAGCCCTTCCCGGCCAAGGCCAAGGGCCGGCACTGGGTGGCCTGGACAAGGCTTCCTCCCACAAGGCCCTTTTCCAGAGAATTGTCCCTCTTCCCCCAACAAAGTGAGGACCACGCCCCGGGTGGGGGGGGCAGCAGATCTTCCTCACTGACAACATTGGGAAATCGGGGGGCATCGGCTGTAGGGTCTCAGGGACGAGCCCCCCAAGTCGCCCCTGCTTTCCTGCCTGGTGTCACTGTGTGGTGGGGGTTCCAGCGCCCCTCAGTGAGAAGGCTCACTGGCTTTGTTGCCGCACATCTAACTACAGGTTCATCCTGAAACAACAAAGGAAGATCGGGGAAGCACGAGAACGGAGAATGACTTTTGCCGATATAAAAGGTGCAATATAAAAGAGTTTGCAGACCCGAATTCTATTCCCAGCTCTTGTACTAATCAGGTTCATTGATTCGGTCCACAAGAGATTATTAACATCCACTGTATGCCAGGCACTGGTCTAGGCTTTGGGGATACATGAGTGAAGAAAGTAGACTAGACTATCTGTCCCTAGGGGAGCTTACGTTCTTGTGAACACTGTTTCTGATTCAAGGAAAAGTCACTCCCTCCGCTCTCTTCTGTCCTACCCTCCCTTAGTTGGGAAAATAATGCCTGTCCTATGTAAACCTCACATATTAAACATAAAAAGATAATGATATAATGAAAGAGTACACTGAAGGCTCTTTGGACACCATAAAAAACCCTGCAAATGTAACACCTTAGACTGCACTGAATGAAACCTTACTGATACAGTTAAATGTGTCCCCCAAAAGTTCACTTATTGGAAGTGGGACTACCATTGTAATAGTGTTATAAAAGTGAGAAGTTCAATTATGGTATTTGAAAGGTGGGGCCTTTAAGAATTGATTAGATGGTGAGGACTGTGCCCTCATGGATGGATTGATCCATCCGTGGAGTAATGGGTGTCATTCTGATGGCTTTTTAAGGAGAGTAAGGGAGAAGGTTAGCTCATTCTTGCCCAGTCCATTCCCCTCATGTGCCCTGGTCACCAGGGGACCCTGTAGAGAGTTCCCACACAGAAGTCTTTCACTAGATGCATGCCCTGGGCCATAGACTTCCCAACCTCCAAAATTGTAAGAAATAAATTTCATTTATTTATAAATTACCCAGTTTCAGGTATTCTTTTGTAAGTAACAAGAGGACTAATAAATACACAAAAAAAGCAAAACACTACCTTAGCATTTTGAGTTCAAAGTCCAACTGAGAAAAAAATAGGCGTTAAACAATGATAGCATCTGGCACATTGTTTCTGATCACCTAGAAAACCTAACTAACAAAAAATGAGATTCTTAGAGTTTATTTAAATTTTGAGTTATTAAATTTCTCCTCTGTCCACATGCAGAAGCCAATTTCAGAACTCCCAGGAATTGTCTTCACTTTGGCTCTCTGAAGTTGAGCTGTCACATTCTCCCTGTTTGTGAAAAATGACTGCAAATAAATAGGCAATTGAATGGTGAACAATTATTTGTAAGCAGTATCATGAACTCACAGAGAGTTGAAAAGCCGCTACTTCGATACTCAATTTTAGAATCTGGTTGTGTTAAATATAAGCTCCATCATCTACTTTACCTCACAGGTGATGTAGTTTATGAAAACTTCATGAATCAGTTAAGACCGCTAAAATTCCCCTCAAACTAACTCTCAGTCAGCTCTCAAATTGACTGTTACAGCTATCCAGGACCTGGTGTTATGGTCTTTAAAGTCCCAGCATGACAGAGATTAGAGTGATAATGCCCATTAGGACAGTAGCATCTGGAGAGCATTTTCTGGCCACATGTCCTCCTCAATGTGGGAGTCAGACAATATTTTAGGTCAGGCCTGACTCAGAGGCTGAGGCTTCTATTGATGTTTAATTAATTCAATATTACAATAAAGTTCTGCACCAACTTCCACCTACTCTACTTGTCTCCCTATACCCCTGTGAGAAGAGATGAATTTGGAAAGTAGGGGATTAAGATGAGGTATCCTAGAGACTCCTACAAAATTTACTCCAAGAATTTGNAAAGTAGGGGATTAAGATGAGGTATCCTAGAGACTCCTACAAAATTTACTCCAAGAATTTGATAATAATGGCAAAATATCCTACACTGTTTGTACACTTACCCCAGAAAAAAAGTAAAATAACAAGAAACCCATAGTTTTACTGTCAGCAAAGAGCAGCCTTACCAGGTCTACTGGAAATAAGAAGACCTGAACCTCCTTCCACGGTCTGAGGTTTTTGATAGAATGGGCCTCACCTTCTGCTCTACTTTTTTCTCTAGATCCAGGAGTCTATCAAGGCAGCAAATAGGTGGTCTGGAGAGTAGCCCATGCTCCTGTGTGTGTGTGCAAGCTTAGAGCCTGATCAAGCATGCCCCTGAATGAAACACAGTACAAACAGTTAAAAGGTAAAGTCCAAAGCCAGATTCTGTCTTACGGACAAGAAATCTTTCTCAGTAGCAAGTTGGATATTCCAATTTGATTTAATATT